TTCATAGCACTACAGACCTACCTCAAGAAACAAGAAAAATTCCTAATTGACTGTCTAACATCACAACTTAAAGAATTAGAAAGCAAACAAAAAGAAAACCCCAGAGCAAGTAGAAGGAAGGAAATAGTAAAGATCAGAGCAGAAATAAATGACATAGAGAACAAAAAAACAAACAAACAAAAACAACAATTCAAAAGATCAATGAAACAAAGAGCTAATTTTTCAAAAAGATAAACAAGATTGATGGACCCTTAGCTAGACTCATCAAGAAACAAAGAGAGAGAACCCAAATACACAAAATCAGAAATGAAAGAGGAGAAGTAACAACTGACACCACAGAAATACAAAAGATCGTTAACAGCTACTATGAACAACTATATGGCAACAAATTCGACAATCTAAGTGAAATGGCCAAATTTCTAGAAACACACAGTCTCCCAAAACTGGACCGGGAAGAGATAGAAAACTTGAACAGACCAATAACAACTAGGGAAATTGAAGAGGTAATCAAGACTCTCTCAGCAAACAAAAGCCCTGTCCCAGATGGCTTCACGGGGGAGTTTTACTGAACATTACAAAAGAACTAACTCCCATTCTCCTCAAACTATTGCAAAAAATTTAAGAAGAAGGAAGACTTCCAAACTCGTTCTATGAGGCCAGCATACTTCTAATTCCAAAACCAGAAAAAGACAGTACAAAGAAAGAAAACTACAGGCCAATATCCCTGATGAACATAGATGCCAAAATCCTGAACAAAATACTAGCAAATCAAATCCAGCAATACATCAAAAAAATTATTCACCATGACCAAGTGGGATTCATTCCAGGGAAGCAAGGCTGGTACAATATTTGCAAATGAATAAATGTGATACACCACATAAACAAAATGAAAAATGAAAACCACATGATCTTTTCAATAGACGCTGAAAAAGCATTCAACAAAATCCAGCATCCATTCCTGATAAAAGCGCTTAACAATATGGGAATAGAGGGATCATATCTCGACAAAATAAAGGCCATATATGAAAGACCTATAGCCAATATCATACTCAATGGGCAGAAACTAAAAACATTTCCATTAAGAACAGGAACGAGACAGGGATGTCCACTTTCACCACTCTTATTTAACATAGTACTGGAAGACTTAGCCACAGCAATCAGACATGAGGAAAAAATAAAAGGGATCCAAATTCAAAAGAAGGAAGTGAAACTGTCATTATTTGAAGATGACATGATATTATACATAGAAAACCCTAAAGACTCCATAAAAAATCTACTAGACTTAAGAAATGAATTTGGCAAAGTAGCAGGATACAAAATTAACATCAAGAAATCGATGGCATTCATATACACCAATGATGAACTCACAGAAAGAGAAACTGAAAAACCAATCCCATTTACCATCATGGCAAAAAGTTAAGATACCTAGGAATAAACTTAACCAAAGAAGTAAAGGACCTATTTGCAGAAAACTACAGGTCATTGAAAAAAGAAATAGAGGAAGATGTAAAAAAGTGGAAGCACATACCTTGTTCATGGATTGGAAGAATTAACATCATTAAAATGTCAATACTACCCAACGCAATCTATAGATTCAATGCAATCCCCATCAAAATACCAGTGGCATATTTTACAGAACTAGAACAAATACTTCTAAAGTTCATATGGAACCAAAAATGTCCCTGAATAGCCACAGCAATTTTGAAAAAGAAAGACAAAGTAGGTGGGATCACAATACCAGATATCAAGTTATACTACAAAGCGACTATAATCAAAACAGCCTGGTACTGGCACAAGAACAGGCATATAGACCAGTGAAACAGAACAGAAAACCCAGAAATGGACCCAAAACATTATGCTCAATTAATATTTGACAAAGGTGGCAAGAGCATACAGTGGAGTAAGGACAGCCCCTTTAATAAATGGTGTTGGGAAAATTGGACAGCTACATGCAAAAAAAGTGAAACTAGATCATCAACTTACACCCTACACAAAAATAAACTCAAAGTGGATAAAGGACTTAAATGTGACCCGTGAATCCATAAAAATTCTAGAAGAAAATGTAGGCATCAAAATTTCGGACATCATATGCAGCAGAATTTTCACTGATACATCACCTAAGGCAACAGAAACAAAGAAAAATATGAACACATGGGACTAAATCAAACTTAAAAGCTTCTGCACAGCAAAAGAAACAATCATCAAACGGAAAGGCATCCCACTGTATGGGAGAACATCATTATCTAATATATCAGATAAGGGGTTAATTTCCAATATATATAGAGTGCTCATACAACTCAACAAAAGAAAGACAAAGAACCCAATTAAAAAATGGGCAGAGGAGCTGAATAGACACCTCTCCAAACAGGACATACAAATGGCCAAGAGACATGTGAAGAAATGCTCAACATCACTAATCATCAGAGAGATGCAAATTAAAACAACAATGAGGTATCACCTCACACCTGTCAGAATGGCTGCCATCAACAAATCATCAAACAACAAGTGTTGGCGAGGGTGTGGAGAAAAGGGGACTCTAGTCCACTGCTGGTGGGAATGCAGACTGGTGCTGCCACTATGGAAAACAATATGGTGTCACCTCAAAAAATTAAAAATTGAATTTCCATTTGACCCAGTGATCCTGCTTCTAGGAATATACCCTAAGAAACCTGAAACACCAATCAGGAAGAATATATGTACCCCCATGTTCATAGCAGCACTATTTACAATAGCTAAGATCTGGAAACAGCCCAAGTGTACATCAGTAGACGAATGGATAAAAAAGCAGTGGTACATATACGCAATGAAGTACTATGCAGCTGTAAGAAAGAAAGATCTCTAATCCTTTGAGACGACATGGAGGGACCAGGAAAGTATTATCCTAAGTAAAACAAGCCAAGCAGAAAAAGACGAATACCACATGATCTCACTTTTATATGGAATATAATGAACATAACAATCTGAGGAATGCCGTAGATCCAGCAACATGGAAGTACGGCACAGACTGACACCCTCAGAAGAGGGGTTGGGAAGAGATAAACCACAGAACTTATATGCATGTATGCATAATCAACGGACATGGACAACAAAGCTGGGGATGGTGTGAGGGAGGATGGGGAGGAGGGTGTCAATGGAGTAAAAAAGGAGAAACATCTGTAATAAAAAATTAAAAAAAAAAAAACTTATTTAAAATGTCTGAGCCTCAGGTCCTCATCTGTAAAATGGGCATAATAGTCCCTATCTTGTAAATTGAAAGAGAAGAGTTCATGTAAAACATGCAGTACACAGTAATTATTCATAAACATTAATCCCTTTGTTTGTAAGAAAAGCTATAAAGAACAAATGTATTGATCACATTTGGATGAGAATAAATAGAAGGTGAACAAACCCACCTCACGGCACCTGCTCTGATGAAGTCCTCAAAACCTAGGAGCAGTGGCCACTGATAGTAATACTATTCCTGCAGGGCAACAAAACCTCTGCCCTTCCGCACCATCTCTGGGAGTGGAGTTTTTTTCTTTTTTAGGAAATGAGGAAATTACATATAAATTATGGAACTTTGAGATGACACATGACATTTTATCTTATAGTAAACGTCTTGCTGAAAGATTATTCAACTTAGTTGGCTTGAAAGCAAATGAAAAATAACTTGATTAAGCATTGAGAAGCCTGTGAAAAATCTAGAGATGAACAAAGACAGTAAATTTTCAGTTGGTCTGCTTGTATGATGATGAACACTGGGAGTGTTTTTGAACTTTGTCGTCTTCTGGTCTGTAATTTTACTCAAACATTATATCATTATTTTTTCCATAATTAAGAGAGTATATTACAAAGCACTTGGAAAATGGAGAATTGAAGAACAGGCTTTTCCTTCCATGTTTTTTCTTCTCTATATATTTTTGTGGCTGCAATCATTATTTGTATGTAATGTTTCAACTTGGTTTTTAGTAAATATTATGACAAAACATTTAAACACTTATTATAGTCTATGATTTATTGAACAGGTTTCCTATTGTGAATACTAAAGTTGCTTCCAAATTTGTGCTGTAATATATAATTATTGTGAAGAACAATTTTGCTTTCAGAATTTTTCAAAGGTTTTTATCTGTAGGGAAATACAGATTTAAAAAAAGAAAAAGTACCAGCTCTCAAAACTACATTCCCGTAAACTTCCCTCAGGTCTTCCCTCTGTGCCCAGCACAATTTATCAATCTTGGTTTCTATTACAATCTGCAGGCAGGTGAGCTGCACATAAGTTACAAAATGCTGGCACAGGCAGTTTTGTTTAAAAGTTCGCATCACCAAACCCTAGTAATAGTACAAGGTCAATGAGAAAGAGAGAGACGCAGAAGAAAGCAAATATTTAAAACTGGCCAGAGAATTTTCTGAATAATATAGTTACCCTCTAAACCCATATGGGAAGGTGGTTTGAGCTGTTTGTCACTTTATCTTATTAACACAGTCTTTGCCCTTCACTCTTCTTATTCCCCCATTTCTCCCCTACCCTTGACTGTTCTTTCAAGGAATTTGAGGGCTCCATGAACTTGTCCATCTTCTTTTTATCCTCACGGTTCTGTTTTCTTTCCCTGCCATTTGTCCAGTGTCTTGCAGTGTAATATTCATGGTTTCAGTTCAGAAAGGACTGAGCATTGACTGTGGGCCAGGTACAGTGGTAGGTCCTGGAAATTCAGTGGAGAGTAAAGCATAGTCTGCTTATCGAGAGGACGGTGGGAGGTTCTGATTGAGTGGGTATCTGAAGGCAGAGATGGAGCTAGCTAAATGATGAGTGGGTGTGCATGTGTGAAGGGCATTTTTCGCAGGGAACAGGCTTTGCAAAGCTATGTGGTGGGAGGGAGCATGAGAGTGCCCGGAGGAGGAAGGCCACAATGTCTGAAACCCCACTGCCTCAACGTAGAGCCCAGCCTACGCTGTCATGCACAAACCATAGAGCCCCGTTGTCCAATACTCTCCCGTGGCATCCTGTCTGGGTAGTCAGTTACCTTTTCTCATCGTGTCTGTAAGATGAAGAGGTCCGGCCACTGGTCCATATAAACATCTTAGAGGATGTTGATCCAGGGTCTCCTTTCCTTACGGTGGAAGTCCTGGAGGAATGATGAGAAGACCTAAAAAAGGTACACATGGAAGTTCAGTCCATTACATTAAATTTTGGGAACTCAGTATCAACAACAACCAATAACTCTCAGTGGATTGACCTTTAAATAAGACCAGGTTTCTATTACTGCTGGGCGGTAGGTCTCAACCTTGACTGCACATTAAATTCAACTGGGAATTTTTATAAAAACACTGAAGCATGCCTCCTCCCCCAGAAATGTGCATGTGCAGTTTGTACAGCTTCCCAGGTGTTCCTGGTGCACTGCTGGGGTTGAGAGCCACTGCCGAAGGGCAACATGTTTTTCTAGTTGAGGTTAATATCACATTCTCTCCAAAATTCCTCCTCCAAAGATATAGTTTAGTATGGTTTCACTCTGTAGTATGATATAGTTTCTTTGTACTTTGTAGTACACTGTATTTTCCCAAAATTTTGGTTCAGATTTGGGTACTAATTTTTTTCCCTCCTTTTCTCTTCAAAATGTTGTTTTTGAGCTGACAGATGTGACATTTTGGGGACAGAACATCATTTTTTAAATGCGCTCTACTGTTGCCGAAGCTGTGGGTTCGCCCCTTGCAGCTGAGAGTCTGGGAAATTCACAGCAGCCGCTCACTGGCTCCGAGAGGCTGGGTTTATAGGATCTGGAATAAAGATATTGGAGGAATGTCATTTTCTTTTTGTTACGATTTGACTCAGGGATAAGTTCTTTCACCTTCAAGCATAGCACTAAAAATAGTATGCTATTATTATTTATTTTCTACATAATAATATTGATCTTCTAGGGAATTAGAAACGTAAAATATCATAGAAATTTTAATCACACATAAAATTTAAGGTGATATTTAACAAGTAGAACAAAGGAAGGAAGGAAGATGATTCCTTTATGGTTTTATTGTCACTCTTGGCTTTCCTTTTGGCTGAGCAGAATATTAATGGTAAGCATGAGGATGGAAACAAGATTAGCTACTATATGCTGTAAGAGTTACTAGATGTGAGACACTTTGCATATAATAGCTATAATATGCCATGAAATGTACAATCTGTTAAATCTATATTATGAAAACCCTACAAGGCAGATAGTACTATTGTTTCCAAATTACAAAAAATGCTTCCAGGAGATTGGGATATTGGTCACATTTAGAAAAGGTAGGCTCGGCTGGAGTGGCTAGGTTGGTTGAGCATTAATCTGCGCACCAAAGGGTCGCTGGTTCGATTCTTGGTCAGGGCACATGCCTGGGTTGGGGCATCTACAAAAGGCAGCTGATCTATGTTTCTCTTTCACATTGATGTTTCTTTCTCTCTCTCTCCCTCCTCCCTTCCTCTCTCTAAGCATGTCCTCGGGCGAAGATTGAAAAACAAAAAAAAATACACACACACACACACACACACACACACACACATACACACGCACACACACACATTCAATAAATGTGACCACTTGAAAAAAGTGTGGAATCATGCTTCCAACAAATGTCTGCTTGCCTCCAGTTCTTGTACTCTCTAGAGAAAGATACATTATGGTCTAGCCCAGTGATTCTCAAACTAATGTGCATGTGAATTTCCTGGGGATCTACAATGTAGAATCTGATTCAGTGGGTCTGGGGTGGAGCCCAGGATTCTGTATTTATAACAAGTTTTTGGGTGATGCTGATATAACTGGTCTGCATACAACACTGAGCAGCAAGGGCTCAGGGCATGTACTCAGAGTTAGTGGTTGGTTATAGGTCCAATTCTGCCACTAACTAGCTGTGTGGCTTTGAGAAAGTCACTTAACTTTTCTAGGGCTTAGTTGTTTTTAATCTGGAACATGAAATGTTTGAAACAGATAACTTCTAAGATCTCTCTCAGCTCCAAAATTTTGTGATTCAGTAAATTGAAGAATGAATCGAAGTATATTGTAATTAATTGTGTGCTGAGTTTCTGGGAGCAGGTCTGGGAGTGGAGCTCCTTCGATGGCCCTTGGGCCAGCATCAGAGATAGAAGGAACAGAGGCCATGGAAGGCAGCAGGGGTTTGGGAACCAATTTGGACACAATAAGTCATACTTCCACCCTTGGTATCCTAGGATGAATGGCAGGGATGAATGGATGTACCCAAATGGATGTCTTAAACAGTGTTAGAAAGATTTAGAAGTTAAATTTGCTAGCTCTTTCAATGGCTTAGATCTGGTGTATTTAAAGTTATTTATGTTCCCTTTTTAATATCTGTAAAACTTATCAAAAGCATAATTCTCTCAAGATCCATCCACATTGTCACAAATGGCAATATTTCATCTTTTTTATGGCTGAGTAGTATTCTATTGTGTGATATGTGTTATATATATCACATCTTTATCCAATTATCCATTCATGAACACTTAGGTTGTTTACATGGCTTGGTTATTGTAAATTATGCTGCAGTGAACTCAGGGGTACATATATCTTTACGAATAAGTGTTTTCATATTTTTCAAGTGTATATTGCAAGGAGGAGTTGCTAGATCATATGGTAGTTCTACATGATTTCACTCATATGTGGAATATTAAACAAAAAATAACAAACTAACAAAACAAATAAAAACAAACTCATAGATACAGACAACAGAATGGTGGTTACCAAAGGGGTAGGAGGGTGGGAGGAAGATGAAGTGGGTAAAAGGGGTCAAATATATGGTAATGGAAGGAAACTAGACTTCAAGTTCTGAGCACACAATAGAATATATGGATGTTGAATTGTAATGTTGTACTTTTAAAATTTAGATAATGTTATTAATCATTGTTACCCCAATAATTTAACTAAAAACTAAAATAGAATAGAGATTAAATTCATTAGTATTGAAACCAGTCAACCTTCAGGAAAGAATATTGTAATCTAAGTTGAATGAACCACTTCATAAGAATGAGGATTGGCTTAAATTTTCAGGAAGCTATTTCAACCTTGACTTTGGTAGAATCTTCTGATCACTTTAGTCACCCCTCAAATGGAGGGGGATGTGGAGTAGACAAAGAAAAGTGGCACAATTTGAGTCAAGATAAAGCAATAAATGACTGAGATCCTGGCCCGTTACTTAGTATTAGCCAGCATTGAACAGACACACCCCACATATTATAAATGCTTTGAAATCGTTCCAAGTGAAAGGAATATAGTAATGATTTCAATACACTGAGGGTACTTTTCAGACTGGGTCGTTGTTCTAGCCTTGCACTCTGCTCTGTTGTTCCTCGATGATAAAGAAGGGGAGAGATGAAAGATGCATTTGTTCGGCGGAGCTGTCTAAAGCTTGTTGGAAAGCTGACTTCTCAGGTTATTCCAGTAAGTGGATTTGAGTTTCTTTGTCCCAGGTTTTTTTCCCCCCATAAAGACACAGTTATTTAAAACCTGCTAAACTTATCGTTAATTAAAAGGAAAGGGAGTAGCCATGTTAAGGACAACAGTGCAAAGGTTCTGTGGAGGTTGAAACCAGTTTTCAGGCTTCAAAGAAGCACTGGGAATATGTTAATGAAGTTGGATTGGCGGTTCTCTGGGCTCAAAGGCAGCCCTCCTGAACTCTTTACATAATTACCTCAGTTCTGCTCACTTTATAAGACAAGGGACGTTTTGTTTGAATCGTGATTAGGAAAAGTTATAGAGAGACAAGAAAAGCACTTGATAAAGTTTTGTGATTTGGAAGCCTTGTGTGAAACAGAGCTGGCTGCACAGGGCTGTGGGCAGGGGGAGGAACCTGGGTCTAATCCCATCATTAAATGACCTCGGCTTTGGTGAATGGGGCAGAGCCATGACTATGCAGATGAGTACGATCTGAAAACCAGAAGTCCTGAAAGACGGAATCTCAGCTTTGAAAGAAAGCAAGGAGTCAGTGAGACCGGATGATTTCTTCGTCTCAGGAATTTATTAAGTGGCCTTTTCCATTTCTCAAGCACACACACTGTGGGTTTCTACTTCCTTGACTCAGGTCACACTTTCCCTTTGCCGCCCGTCCCTGCAAGTGAAGGAATTTCTCCAAGGCCATCTCAGACGTCTCTTCTTCTGAGAAGCCTTCTCTGGCCTACATGGGCAGCTTCTCATCTCTGCTTCCAGTGCCTGGTATTTGCCTTGGTTAGAACAAGGCACAGTTTACCCTGCCTCGCCTGCAAGGCCATGGGCATTGGGCAGGGCTGTGTCTTGTGCACCTTTCTGGCACAACACAGGACACACAGTGACATGCTGGCTGTGTTGGCTGCATCTCAGCTTTTGCTGGAAAGCATGACCATTGCTACTGACGCTGGCCTCCGGAGTGTGGCTCACTACTGCTCAGTGCAACCCACAGCTCTTCTGGCTCCTTCTCTTAGCTTCGATGTCCTTCCTTCTTCCCACTCCCCACTTCCTCGCTTCCCTTCTGACTGTCCTGCTCCTTCTGCCTCATTCATTGGCTGGGACAGAAAGTTTCTATTGCTTGCTGAATCATCATCCAGTCAAGTTTTCTTTAGAGAGGGCAGTGTGACCTAATGTAATATAAGCAGGAGAGCCTGATGAGCCAGTTGGTTTGTTCACATCTCAGCATCACTTCCTACCAGACGGTTGACTTTGGACAAGTCAATTTAACATCACTGTGTCTTAGTTTCTGCAATCATAAAAAAGCGGAGAACAACATCTTTCTGGGCTGCTTGGAAGATAAATGAGATAACAGATGCAAAAGTACCTACAGGAAATTAAGGTACATAGTAGGTACATACTAAATATTAGCTTATTTCTTCCCCCCCATTATTAATTTTAAAAAGAAACATCATTGATTTTTGTTGTTTTATTTTTTTTTGGTAAAAATCCAATTAAGTTGTTTTGTACTTGTACATTGAGACTATTGATTTTTTCCCCCTATGGGTCAGTGATACTCAATAGAGAAAGGACAGTTTTCTGAGATATTGAGATAATAAAACTGAAGCACTTCCTCATTCGCATTAAGTAAAAACCCATCCTGAGCAACAGAAGTGTGAAGAAGGTGCCTCTGAACCCTGGACACACATCAGAATCATATGAGGGAATTCTGAAAAATCCTGGTG